AAGTCAGCTGATTTTTTAAGAACATTTGACTGGAACCTGAAGAAGGTCCAGAAATGTGAGGCCGTGGTTATACAATTACACGTTTATATTATACGTATTATAAGTTTTTCTTATGTTTTTCAGAATTGAGTTTGTGACATGTAGTAAAGCCTCCTCCCCATTTAACAAAGAAATTATTATTACTGATGCACTTAATTATTAGCAACACTTGTGCTGTTCCTCCTGTTACAAATCAAAATGTTTTGTGAAAAAGGTCTATTACCACAACTAGCTCGAGATTATTTCTGGCAAATGTAAAGAAATTCAAAGTGACAATTTCTCATAGCCCACCACTTTTAGCCACAGCGGCTGCTGTTCAGTAAACGTTATGTATGCTTGTTTTAAATTCTGGTTTGAGAGTTTTGCAAGGAAACAGATACTGACTACTTTTTCATCCACACTAATTTTCCACTATTATTCAGAATGTGACAGTATTCCGAGGCCTTATTCCGAAGGGACATAAGGGATACGCCGATATTATTCGGGGTTTAGGAGTCTTGTATTTTTAAGATCAGCTGTGTGTGTTTTAAAGAAGCCAACTAGCTAACAGTTTACAAGGTCGGAAGGAGAAACACATCTACTTTTAAAACTTTACATTATTAATTGAGCTGATGCTTTTGTCCAAAGCGACTTACAATTGCAATACATGTCAGAGGTCGCACGCCTCTGGAGCAAATAGGTGTTAAGTGTCTTGCTCAGGGACACACTGGTAGATGTGTCACAGTAGGAATCGAACCTGGGTCTTTCACACCAAAGTTATGTGTCTTATTCATTGCGCCATCACCACCCTTCAGAAGCCACCACCTGCGTTGGCTGGGAACATTATGAAAGACTTGGATATCAACACCGGCCTTTTAAGAAGGTGGTTGGGCGAATGAAAGACTGGTGCTGTGTTTGTGCGGTTGAACAAGTCTGTCACCAGTGGAAAATCCTATTTCAATGCAAAGAAGCCAAATAGCTCGAGCAGCTTCAGTCGTATACATAACTGCATGTGAACGGGAACATTTGTGGAATATTAATTTCCATTAGCCATTAGCCAACTACTTTGGAGGAATTTTTTCTTTTTTGGAATAAGGACAAAAACCGGAGTAATGTGTGCATGTAAACGTAGTCTCTGTTATACTAAGGTCCACTGAAAAGTGCAAAAACTTTTCTCCACAGTCACCTATGATTGATGAATGAATGATGAACAAATGACTAATTTGCATTGTGGATTTTCTTTTAGCTAAATACACACTAGGTATTCAGTGTGTTATGACCTCAGGTACAGGTTAGTCCAGAGGTAAGAGGGGAGTAACAATTAAGATTGAAACCAAGTCAAAAGAAACAGGAAAACAGATTATGTGCGACCAAAAAGAGGATATTTATTCACAATTAAAGAAAAATACGCACAGGTACTCAAAATCTACACCAGAAAACGTGAAAGCACATGGTTAATTTGCTAAGCTATGACCACAAGACTGGCTACTTAAACCAACAAAGCGTTATCCACTACCCTCCCTGCACAGAGCATGAATGAGCACACAGCTCTGCAATGCTACACACAGCTACGTGAACACAGCTCCATGTTGTTGCATGTTTTACCCACTGGCACTGCATCAGCTTGTCTTTATACTCTCCACACTGACTGGAGACTGGAGACAGCCGCATACATCCACCTGCTGCAGAGAGGGAAGCACCTGGAGGAGCACAGGGGAGACAGCTACCAGTAAATAGCCACAACCACCCAATCAGTGTGGACAACGGTTTTTGTCTCCCCCTGACTACTTATGGCTTCTGAAAATGACCTTGTTAATACTTATCATTGATTGCGATGGTAGCAATGTAACCTTTATTGTACTGCAGTCTCATTATAGGATTCTCTCTGTCCCTAATTCTGACTTTCCTCATTCACTTGTGTGTCAATGCCATTATCTGGGTTTCTACTCTGAATGCCGAGAAAGATGAAACATTTATGAACCCTCAGGCACATACCCAAACACACCAGCTGTCTCCTTGCCTTGCTGTGCCACAAAACTGTTCTCCATCCGCTATTTCTGCCCTACCTCCCACATTGTGAATTCATGAACTTCTACCCTGCCATTCCCAATCACCGCTCAAGGAGCTAGTCTGATTTGTCAAAGTGACGCAATGTCAAGATACTGGTAAGTGTTCTTACGTTTCATCTCCACTGACAGCTTGAAGAGCATAATTTAGCCTCGGGAGGATCTTGTGAGCCGCAAAGAAGGTCCTCCACTCAAACCGGACAATTCAATCAGACAATTGACCGAAAGGGGGAATTCTGAGAAGTATGGCGCTCCTTTCAGAGTGAGTTACATTGTTCATGAGTTTGGATGGCAAGACTGAGACACAAAGAGATCCTTCATGGGATTTTTAGGAGCAAGCACCATATTTGAAACCTATATGACTGTTGTCTGTGATTGGTAATGACATTGAGGTATTTAGTTAGAAAAATGAAGAGTAAAACAGAGCAAAGGAAATTTATTTTGTTTAATCAGCCTAGCTCCTCATGTTCCTCTTACAATCATGTGGTTAAAGAGGCATTTCTCCCAGGTCATTTCCAGTTCCCAGTATAATAGAGGGAACACTCCTTCGCAAGGATGGCAAGGTGACTGGCATTTTTACAAATTAATGAATTCAGCTCGTGAACACTCACGCTGCCCGTGGCCTCTTCTGCTGCTTTCCCACGTCTGTTTGTCCTTCAAAAAGAGTCTGCATTTGGACAAGTGCTGTCCAATCATGAGCCACTGAGAGCTGAGAGCACTTCACTCCTACAAAAACACGATCAGAACAACTTCAATAACAGCTATTCACTCATTTGTTAAATGATTTGGTGCTGTTGTTTGCTTTAAAAAATTACTTAATTATCTTTGTCTTTGGAATGTATTAGCATAAACAATGTTATTACTTGCATAAATTGTAATTACCCATGTAAGTTTCAGTGCATTCTTGTTGTTGCAAAGTTTTTGGAAATGATCCCATGGTTCAAATTAAAATAAATAGCCAATTATGATTTTACTGTCACAACATACTTTTGATTCATGCGAGACTCAGCAAAAAAGCCACATTTGGTTTGCTTTATGCATGTATAATAAACATGTAAACAGACTTAATGCAACACATTTGTTATCCAATATCATTCATTTAAGCCTGGGGCTGTGGTGATAATCAGTTATTTGGTTTGAAATGGTTTGAAACTTCATGTTCAAGCATTATAATAATTATTCAAAGCAATCTGGATTCATAAATATCTATCTTTTAATAATTTAAAACACTGTGTGTAGCATTGCATTAATACAATTAATGCTGACAAACCACAAGAAATACCACAAACAATCACAACATCACTAGCAGCCTCTACTGGCCTCCACACAACACCATGTAGCACTGAGTCTAGCTTTTTAAGTATTGTGTTATGGTGCTTTGAGGCACAAAACAAGAGCAAACACAGATCATATTTCGGAGTTTCTGGCAATGGCACATAATGAAAACAGAGAATGGCAGATGGAAAAATCCTTGCAAACACATTTACCCTCTAACAGATACCAAAAAACATGTGCCTGTAGACAAGGACACGTAGCAACATCTTTATTTCATCAGTAAGCATCAGTGTTTACTTGAAACTTGATCTTAATTTCAAGAAGCACAATACCACTGGAATGAGTTGGAGGCTACCCGTTGTCAGTGCTGTGGTCTCGTTTGTCAAAGGTATTTGGATCATTTTCTCAGTGATGTATTAATGATGCATTTTGTAGGTACTGTGTACTATATAGTGGAGGCTGATAAAAATTGGGAGAGACCAGTGTACAAAAACATTTCAGTCATGGTATGATTAGATATCGTTTTTCTTGATAGAAAACATATCCAATTGCATATTTGAGGTTTTGTTGGCATGTGCCTTATCTAAAATACAGACGAAATATGCAGTTTTATATGTCCATAAATAAAATATTTGATATCTTGTTCTTATTTACTAGGTCAGGAGTCTCCAAGATACTAAATATGTACCAAAGAACAATTTCACAAAACCTGTTGCAAAATAGTCATGCAAGCATATCCACTAACTGTGGGCCTTGTGATGATGTGACATAAGCTAAGAGGGGGAATCAACAACACGTTGGAATCAAACCAGTATTACACAACTGACTCTTTGTGTCGCTTCACTGATCTGCCACGACATGACGAGTTTATCGATAAAACCAGAACTTGAAGTGCACGTGGGCGCCCCTATCCTGGCACAAACAAGCCCTCAGCACAGCTATGAGACTCCCTGTCATCTCGAGCACTCAGCATTCCTCCTAACACTTTAGGACTCCTCTCTTTCTCCACTTTCTGCTCTCAGTCTGCGTGAAACATACATGTAAGCCCTCTTTCCTGGTACAAACAAGTGTTCCCAAAAGGCTTGGGGTTGCAGTAACACTGACAACTTGAATGGCTCTCCCTCACCCTGCCATGACCCCCATGTTCGCATTTAGACTTGCTTGTGAATAGATGCCCACAGGAGGGGGTGATGAGAATGTACCCCTCAATTTAATTAAACTACTGAACACGTCCCATTGGCACTGAAGGGGTTAAGAAAGGCCAAGTATGCACTGGGCTCACAACAGAGAGAAATGTAGAGATTGGGATGCATGGTCTTTTTGTTTATTTTGTCTGTGCTGTTTCAATCATTAATAGCACATAAATCATAGAACTACTTGATGGGAAAGTCAGCTGGTGGCAAATCTTCCTCTTGTGCTCTTTTGTAACTTAGGGGAACTGAGTATTTAGACACATCTAGAAATCTTACACAGTATTTATTTTTGAGTAAGGGACTTTCTACAGCCTTGAGTTTACTTTGAACCTCCAGAGTCTGGTGTGCCCAAGGAAGAGCACCACTGCTCTCTCCATCTCTCCCTCTCTCTCTCTCTCTCTCTCTCTCTCTCCCGCTCCCTCTCTGCTCTAAAGGCGTGGTGTGTAACAGACTTCTGTTGGGCAGCTGTTGGAAGCTAACTGAAGGAGCGTCAGCCTTTAGAGCGGAGTCAGTGAATCCCCTCATCAATCCGGGCGGAGCGGCACTCACTCTGCGGCGAGGTCACCCAGCTGCTCGGTCAGACCCTTTTACGCACTGAGGGAGCCACCTGAAAACGCAGATGTTGACGTCGTGAGAAGAGGGATCCAGTAGTTTCCCCCCGTAAATTCTCCTGGAATATTCAGATTGATTGTTGGCAGCACATTTTGAAATTATCAGCTAAAAGCCGGAAGACATCTCCTCTGCAGAATGAAGGGATTTACACCTTTCTTCAAAATGTTTCTTATTGCGCTACTTGCCGCCAGCGTCTCCGCTACCAAGTTAAATGTACCACGGCTGAGACTGTCATACAAAGGTAATTAAGTGGTCTATCTATCTATCTATCTATCTATCTATCTATCTATCTATCTATCTTTTTTTAAATTGTCTCCATCACCCTTTTCTGTGCACGCGTGCCTTACAGGTGACATTAATTGGTGATCTTGAGCGTCTCGTGCGAAGTATTCGGAGTCTTCCTTACTTGTAATAATACCATTTATTCTGTGATTATTTCAAATGAACATCCTCCTGTTCATGCTTAAATACTTACTTTTATTTATTTGTAGGCTACTTTTATCTCCACATAGCTCTCTAACACTTATTCTCTTTGCGGTGGTGCGAACTGGAAGAGTTAAATCCGGGTCGATATTTTGGCTACTGTTTTGGGGGTTTATATGTTTTAGGAAGCACACATACATTAATTTGTTGGTTTCCAAGTTGAAACCGCTCTGCAGTGCAGGCGGGGTGTCCAGCCAGAGGACATTTGGCTGAGGTTCATCGTTCTGTGGTGGGAGACAGCGCGTGAGATTGTCTCATTATAAAAGTTTATTAAGAGTGGCAACCGCAACTAAATATCTAGGAAGAATGTTATATAATTATCTTTTATACCGCGGTATGGTTATTAGCATTATGTCATTAACTCACAAATGTATACATATTGCAATGCTTAATTGCCTCATGGAGGTGGATTTAGTCTGTCACACAAAGTTCAGACCATCCAAACCTTCTAATGACCTTTCACCTTTTAAACACTCAAAAAAGTAGTTTCTGCTGTTACATCCTGAATAGAAGTGTGATTAAACTGACTTTATTGGTTGCAGGCTTGGTGTGTATGTGCTGCTGAATAAAATACTAATACTAATACTAAAATACTTTAAAATCTCACCAACATTACCATATATAGTATATTGTTGGCCTTAACATACCATGCCCTATCTCCTCCTCTCTAATCTAAGCTCTGTTGTTGGCCATGACTCACTCTGGTTTAATGATAATAAGGCATTAAAGGACCCAGTGTATGCATATCTGTGTGTGTGTGTGTGTGTGTGTGTGTGTGTGTGTGTGTGTGTGTTGTTGCCAAACCATGCTCATTGTTTCATTTCACTCAGGCCAGAGTGGGTCCGCAATCATCATCACTGATAGATATCACACAGGATTTCCTCAGTTCAACTCCATGTTTTCAGGAGAAAAGTCACCATGTGAGTTTACTGGTCTTCCTGTTGGCTGGACTGGAATTACCGCTCAGGGGGGGGAGACATACTGATAAAGTAAGAGAGAACAACTGCAAAAGCTTTCTGAATACATATTGCAGCAACAGAAATACAACTGCTTTATACTCAACTTATTTGTTATTGCCATGTTAGCAGCAGGGCCTTAGGATGGAAATGTTTGTGGGTTATTAGATCTGTTGGTCTGACATGATATCTTAAAAAACTGCTAGTCATATTCATGGACCCTGAAGCTTTAGATGACCCCTGATCTCTCCTCTAGAGACACTTCCACGGCAAAATGTCCACATGTGCACATGAAATATCCAAATCGAATGGAGAAATCACCATGACATTTTATGAGCATATTCATGTTCCCCACAGAATGAACCATTTCCTTTTTTAACAGTATACACAATGTGAGCTTTCCTCTTGTGCAAAGTTTATATTTTGGCCTAAGGGGGCCCTTTAGGCCCTTTAGGCCCCATAATGAGTAGTTTGCCATGAAAATTGTTAGTAGCTTGTAACATTTCTGTGATACTTTTGTGTTGTGGGATGTAAGAAAATAAACATCACATTAACTGACATCACAGAACGATATTTTTGGTCTTTAAGAAATCAGTTTTAGGATAGGAGGATCCTGCAACGCAACTGAGGAATGGGTGCAATTTTCTAACAAACAAAGACATGCCCTGGGCAAACACTAGTAGTGGAAAAAGCAGTGCCCAAGATTGTGAGTCACTGCTTTTTACTCATGTTCGAGCTCTCTTTTCAAAGTATTCCACAGATCCATTTTCACTTTGATCTAGCAATAAACAGCACCATATTAAACCAGTTTTCTTCTTCATTACAAAAACATTATGCATTATGAGGAGCGTGGGAATAAACCTTGCATATAAGATTTTCATTAGTGAACAACCAGTTTCTCGCTTCCTGTCTAGATGACCTCGACTCTGACCCCACAGTTTGCCCTGTGCTTTACATAATTTCCCCCAAGACACTACTCTTTCTTTAAGTCATTACACATTACTTCTCTGTATGTATCGTCTGCTCACTCTTTTGTTTAATTTCTCACTCCTCTGTCCTTTCCCCCCCTCTGTTTGTGTGTCTTTTCCTCTATCAACCCCATTATAGCCCAGAAAAGCCCAGAGGGTGTTTGTATTCCCAAGAGGATGAAGAGGTAATTTAGTGACAGGAAAAGCTGTCATTATCTCATTTCAATCAATTAGTGGGTAGACGTTAAAGCAGGAAGAAAGCTATTTTTACCTCCGAGCGATTAAAGTATTTGTACTCCTCTCGTATCCTCTCGTTATGTTTGCTTCAGGCATGCCAGTCAACACTGATGTAGAGATTTGTAGGTAAAAATACGTCTAAAACTGGGCTAAATTTTGTTGAGTGTCTGTCCTTGTCTTTTTTAGACACACATTTAACATATACCCATCCTTTCATGAGCATTTAAATGACTTTTGATGTAAAGTACTCCTAAAAGCATTATTGGGTACACTTAGGCAAATGAAACAAATGTCATTTGTACCTTGACGTGTATAAAAAAAAAACACATTTCCACCAACTTCAGCTTTTTTTTAAACTTGCAAATAACACAAACCAGTCCTTTCTTGGAATTTCTTTTCTTTTCTTTTTTTTCTTTCACTGTCATATGACACAGTGTTTATCAAATATGTTATGAGAAAATTCTAATTCATTATTGTTTAAAAGCCTAATTTGCAATTCAAACTCTTGACAACAAAAGTGCGAACGTGTGTGTGTGTTCATGACGAGGTGACATTGAGGCATCGAGGTATGTGATGTGCGTGTGGTTGGCTGGACTCCCAGCCTTCTGCCAAGCATCTATACTAGCTCCCATCATGCATCTCTGTCTCTGTATGTCTTTTATTTGTCTTTTTCTCCCTTCCCTCTGCCTGCTTCATTTGTTCATTTGAATTTCCTTTGTCTGTTTGTGTGCAACACACACTGACTTGAGACACACACGCTCTGTCTAATACAATATTCACTTTGTCTCGCCAAAGGCGGGGGGCCACTTGAAAGGACCAATGCACACACCAGTGTCCTATTTTCATCAGATTGCATTAGTTCTCATAGTGAAGGGTTCTGTTTGTTTTCACTTACAGCGTGTGAATTAATGAGTTTGTTTTCTCAGTCTGCTTTGCCCAGATGCATACATACAGACGGGTGTTCGTTGTTCTTAGGCGGAGCGGGGTAATCTGTCACCGGGAGTCAGTTCCAGAGCTGCTGGAATGTAGGGCGTCTCCCATCCTTTCATCTTTTAGCTCTTTTACTTTGTTTCTCCATATATATATATATATATATGTAATCGCTTTTCTTTTCTTCCTCTCTCTTGCTTTTCCTGAGTTCAGTTGAATTGCTCCCAAGCCTCTGGACTGATCTAAAATCCAGCAAAGGAGAGGAAAACGAGCAAACAAAAGAGGTTTAGGTTTGGTAACCAAGCCGACTGGCTTGTTGGACACATGGTTTTTTAGTAGGATGTATATACGCTTAAGCTCTAAAAAAATATTGGAAAATTAAATATTAAATTTCAAATGCTTATGTAAATTCTTAACATATAGTCAAGGGAGTCAACTGTATTTATAAAGAGATGCCTTTAAAGAAATTAAAACAGTTTGACAAGATCTTTAAGGTTTCAAGTGTAGATGGGAGGGCATCTTAATGTTACATAGATGCAGATCTGAAGTTTTGTATGCAAGTTTGTGTCCTAAACTATCCACCGGAACACCCTTATAATGGAATTTAATTTTTATGTCTTTGAAGTCTTTAGTGTGTATTATGTAAGCAATATACCCGACAAGTTTACGTCCCATGAATATAAGGGATAACACTGAGGTTAGGAACCATTGTTCTATAACAATCCATCCGTCTGCTTATCCTGCGTACAGCTGACATCAGGCAACAGGCAGGATAGGTCTGGACAGCTCGCCAGGCGATCCCAGGGCTGACACATATAGACGGAAAACCACTCACATTCACACATACAGGGCAACTTAGAGCTGGCAATAAACCTATATCTTTGTGAAGTCGGGAACCAGAGCACTGGAGAAAATCCATGCAGGCAGAGGAGGAACATGCAAACTCCACAGAAACACCTGGATCAGGGGTGTCCTGTCTAAAAGTTAATCCACACCTTCCAGCCAGTCAGAATCAAGAATTTTGCCTATGGTATAAATAGAATTTTACACAACTGTTCAGCTCTGAGGTAACATCCTCTTAATGGACAGTCACCTTAGGACAGTTGTTACTAAGTAACAGCTTCTCTTTCTTGTTGAAGTAGTAACGTTTATTTTAAGATTGAGAAATATTTCATCTAATCTTATGAAATCTAGAAACACAAGTTTCTAGAGCATAAAGCGACACAATATTATTAAACAAAGTTTTTTAAATTGCTAAGGATTGTATAAGAGGGATGACCAACTCTTAACGGTTATTATTAGTTTTTTTAGTTAATTCAGTGATAGGACTAAGAAATCCAGATGATTTATTTAATTTAATAACTTAATTCAATTCTTAGAATGACCATTGGTATTTTTGATGATATATCATTATTGTAAAAGACTGGCCGTATCCAGAAAATATATTTTTATGAATAATAGCCTACATACTGTGATCAAAGCTGCATAAAAGTGTTCATGAAATTGTGTCCATGAAATTACCCATATTTAGAGGTTTTCTGTCTGGTATGTAGACCTGCTGACAGAGGAAACACACTACATGTTTCTGACACCATATAGAATGAAAAGTGTGTGTGTGTGTGTGTGTGTGTATGTGTGTGAGGTGAGAGAGAGAGAGAAAAGAGAAA